CAGGGATTCCGTATTACTATTTTGTTTTTTTTCCCTGCTGAACAGTGTTGTTGTTTAGTAATACTAAAACTCATTTTGGGTCTTAAAATTTTTACGCTATTCTTATATTCTGTAAATCTTAGACTCATAGTTACTCACTAGAGGTGTTAATTATTAATACTCTTTCATAAGTAGGTGCTATGGTCTAAATGTTGGTATCCCCTGAGAATTCATATATGGGAACCCAACTACCCAATATCTTAGTATTAAGAGGTTGGGCCATTAGGAAGCTACTAAGTCATGACGGCTCTTCTGTCATGAATGAGATAAGTACCCTTTTGCCGTGTGAGGACACCGCAATAAAGTGCCATCTTTTTTTTTTTGAGACGGAGTCTTGCTCTGTCACCCAGGCTGGAATGCAGTGGCGCCATCTCTGCTCACTGCAAGCTCCGCCTCCCAGGTTCAATTAATTCTTCTGCCTCCCAAGTAGCTGGACTACAGGCGTGCTACCACATCTGGCTGATTTTTTTATTTTTAGTAGAGACAAGGTTTCATCATATTGGCAAGGCTGGTCTCAAACTCCTGACCTTGTGATCCACCTGCCTCGGCCTCCCAAATTGCTGGGATTACAGGTGTGAGCCAATCCACCTGGCCGGTGCCTTCTTTAAGATGGGGTCTCCCTGTGTTGCCCGGACTGGTCTTGAACTCCTGGGCTCAAGGGATCTTCCCCTCTCAGCCTCCCAAAGTGCTGGGATTACAGGTGTGAGCCACCACACCTAGCCTAAGGTACCATCTTTGAGGCAAGCCCTGGTCAGACATTGAATCTGCTGGTGTCTTGATGCTGGACTTCCCAGTCTCCAGAACTGTAAGAAGTAAAACTTCTGTTTATAAATTACACAGTCTAAGGTATTTTGTTACAGTAGTCTCAACAGACCGAGATAAAATAGATTTTTCTTATGTAAGCAAACAAAATTAAGCATATTTTATGGGATATGGGAAAAATTTATCCAAAACTGTTGAATAGATATTTAAAAATAAAAGTTCTGGCCGGGCATGGTGGCTCATGCTTGTAATCCCAACACTTTATGAGACTGAGATGGGTGGATCACAAGGTCAGGAGTTTTGAGACCAGCCTGACCAACATGGTGAAACCCCCATCTCTACTAAAAGTACAAAAATTAGCCGGGCGTGGTGGCATGTTCTGTGATCCCAGTTATTCGGGAGGCTCCGGCAGGAGAATCACTTGAACCTGGGAAGTGGAGATTGCTGTAAGCTGAGATCATACCACTGCCCTCCAGCCTGGGTGACAGACTGAGACTGTCTCAAGAAAAAAAAAAAAAAGTTCTTTTGACCAGAATTCTCCATTTGCTTTTCTCCTGGCAAACATATCAACCTTAGTTGTCACTTTAAATTGTCCCTGTAACTTTTGCTGCTTTACCATATACTTTATGTGAAAGTTTGGGTTCCCTTCTCCTCTACTTCAGAGAACTACCCTTCTTCTCTTGAACAGTACTTTAAGTAATAAACAGACACACATAAACACACATACGAATCCACTTCAGAGTCTTAGGACACTGAAGACTATAACCTTGAGGCCCGCATCCTGTGGGTCCGAAATGACAGTCTGGGTATGTCACTGTTTCTTTCTCCTTATGGCTTAATGGTGTGGCATTTCATTTTACATTATAGCTGAAATTTTTTATTTTTATATGTTCGGAACAGGAAGAGCAAGATCTGGATCAACAGGGAAATGAGGTATGATTTTATATTGGAGTTCCTACTGCAACACTGCGATTACACCTGGTTCCCAGAATGTTTGAAACACAACTTATTAAAACTTAAGACAAGACTGTAGGCTATGAAGTCAAACTTTTTGGGTCTTAATCCCAACTCTGCTATATATAACTATGTAAACTTGGAACAGTATTCTTTGTGCCTCAGTTTCCTCATCTGAAGAAGGGGGATAATGTCCCTACCCAGGAGAGGGTTGTTTTGATAACTAATATATGTAAAAGGCATTTAGAAAAATTTATGGCACATAGGAAACACTCAAATATCAAGTATAGTTCAGCACCAAGCATTTTCCTAAATCTAAGTTTACTCATATTGTTAAATAAATGGGGGCAGTCTCACAGGCAGCACAGCAAATAACTCTACGATGTCCTGGGATTTCTCCTTAATAATGGGTAAGAGGAAAAGCCCAGGGTTTCTCAACTTTGGCACTATTAACGTTTGGGGTTGGTTAATTCTTTGTTGTGAGGTCTGTCCCATTCATTATAAAATCGTAGTGACATCCTTGGCCTTTACCCACTAGATGCCAGTGCAGCCCCTACCTCTTCCTTCTCATCCCTCATGATAGTTTGGTGTCAACCAAAACTATCTCCAGACATTGGCCAATGTCTTCTGAGGGGCAGAATCTTCCTAGGTCAAGAAGCAGTGGTGTAGCCATATAGTAATGATGATATATTACTGTATCATTTTAATCCATAGTTTTCTGCAACTCAGGCAATAGCCAACAGTTCCCCCCACCCTTTTATTTTTTGAGACAGGGTCTCTGTCACCCAGGGTGGTGTCACCCAGTGCAGTGGCAGGATCATGGCCCTCCACAGCCTCTACCTCCTCGGCTCAAGTCACCCTCCTACCTCGGCCTCCCTAGTAGCTGGGACTACAGGAACCCACCACTATGCCCAGCTAACTTGTGTATTTTTTGTAGAGACAGGTTCCTCCATGTTTCACAGGCTTGTCTTGAACTTCTAGGCTCAAGCGATCCACTGCCTCAGACTTCCAGAGTGTTAGGATTACAGGCATGAGCCACTGATCCTGGGCTGCCTTTCTCTTAAATATAACTATAGGTGGTGTTTTGAAAATTATTCTCATTACTTATTATGCTAGGCAAAAATTAAGTAGTAAAGAATATGTTTAAACATCGGTCTTCAATTGTTTGGAACTACAAAGCAGCGTTTAAGTACTGCTGTTGCAACTTAGATGGTATGTGTATCAGAAAAAGGTAAATATGTTGAGATATTAATTCAGCAGTGTTTTAGCATTTTTTTAAAAAGTGTTATAAACTGCTTTTGTAATTGTTTTTATTTGCCCTTTATAGGAAAACCTGTTTGATTCTTTGACAGGCCAGCCACATCCTGAAGATGTACTATTGTTTGCCATTCCAATATGTGCCCCTTACACCACCATGACAAACTACAAGTATGTTACCCTTAGCTGACAGAATGGCTTTCATGAATTGTTTTGTAATGTTTTTTTAGTAACACATATATTTCCTTTTTAAAGATATAAAGTGAAACTTACTCCTGGAGTGCAGAAAAAGGGAAAAGGTATTTAAATTTTTTTTGAATTATGATTTTAAACAGTTCAGTGACTTAACAGAATTAGATTATTCTTACTCTTTTTTGTATTTACAGCTGCAAAAACAGCCTTGAATAGTTTCATGCATTTCAAAGAAGCAACAGCAAGAGAAAAAGACTTATTCCGCAGCGTAAAGGTAAAGTTCTCCTTCAGAAAAGGAAAATGGAGACTGACAGTACAATTTAAAATGTTGGCAGTTTTTCTTATTTTATTAGAAAATGCTGTCTTATTAGAAGCAGTAAAATCATTTCAGCTAAAAATTTGGAAATGTTTTTCTTTTTTTATCATAAAAGAAACATGATTGACCATATAGGATGTGAAGATATTCAGCAATTTTCTTTTTTTAGGACACAGATTTATCAAGAAACATTCCTGGCAAAGTGAAAGTGTCTGCACCCAATCTTCTGAATGTAAAAAGGAAATAGCTGAAATGAAATTCTAAAATATTTGAGAAGACCCAATTTTATAGCCTTTTGGAAGTTCAAAGATGAAAACACCATGTTACAGGACTCAGCATTATAAAAATGAACTAAACATTGCCTTGCTATATATATTCACCAAAAGGACTTAATTCTTGTTTTTTTCCCCCAGTTTTATATAGAGGAAACACTGTCTATGATAGGATTTCCTAAAATATTTGTGGACAGTTAAATGCTAATTATATACATCTGTCGTTATTCTACATTTTCTTGGAATTTGGAGGTTAGTATTGTGTTATTTTCATGATATAAAGAAACTGAACAGTGAAATGGCTTGATTGCTTAAACTACTGACTTAAGTCTACTGTATGTAACAGCTAATATATATATTACAGTGCAGCCACAAGGGTCTTTTTTTTTTTTTTTGGTGCAGGGGAGGTTAAATATTTAGGATTGTGTCTTGAAAACTAAATATTGGAGTGGATTTTCTTCTGCTTTCACCTATACTTGTCAAAAAAATGTATTAGACCAAATGTAAAATACAAGTATAATAATTCTCATGACTCAGCTTAATAACTCCTAGATGGAACTGGTGTTAATAATTTCTGTTCATTTGCAGACCTTCAGGTTTGCTCTTAATTTCTTTCTTGTAGTCTCATTCAGTTCTGTACCTTTACTAATTATCAATATAGCATGTTACAGAGTATCTTAACCTATACCAGAAGTGCATTTTAGGCTAACCACTAAAGACTCCAATGCATTTTTCCTCTGTCACCTAACAGAATGGAGAATGAAGTTATCATTATTTCCATCCTTTCATGAGCTACAGAATTTATAACTGACTGGACGACACCTGCCTGTAGTCAGCATGACCACTTGTTCCAGTGCCTACACTGAAGCATTAAGGTCAAAGTACTAAATAGCTGTTGATCCCTCCATACTTTTATTTTCCCAGCTTAGTCATAATGCTTAAAAAAAAAAAAACCAGACTCTTATATTTACAACACTACTTATAATTTCCTAAATTTAAATTGTTTTTAAAATTTAGACTACTCTTGCCATTTAAAAATACCTATGTTTTTAAAAAATGACTTCATTTTTTTGATGATGGTAAGACTATTTAGTGTAATGTTTCTACAGATATATATCCTGAGGTTACCAAAAAGGAAACATAACCATTCTCCGGGGTAAAAAGCCCAACCATTACTTTTCTTTTACTTTATAATATAGGACAGCTACTGGTGTTAAATACATTTATTGTAAACTTTAGACACAAAAATAGGTTCTCTAGGCCATCCACATGCACATTAAACCAAAAGTTGCAAACTACAACAATGCATATAATTATACAAATGATGCCAACTCCGTGATGTTTACAGGATTGCTGTCCATGCAGGGTGATCAGAGGCATTATTTATGAAGCCTTAAGATCCAGAAGTGTTGTTACTACCAAACCTCTGATTAACACTGTGAAGTAAGTGTTTTGGAAGGCAGTTCCATGAGTTGGCTAACATTTCTTTAAAACAAATGACTGCTTCTAAGCTTAGCCTGAAAAATGGACAAGGAAAGAGAAAAGTAATTTCACTTTACTGTTTAGAAGTATGTTCACTTGAAAAGCTACATAAAACATCCCTCTTTCTTAGATTTTCACAGGAACTGGTTAGTTATAGCAGTTGAAGTTGCTACTTATTATTATTGCCCTTAAATAATCCATAAACCTGTTTTTTTTCCTGAGAGTGGTTAAGTATTAAACACAATTTGAAATATAAGTGCCAAGTACAAACTTACTTACCGTACAAGAGATTTTGGTTGAACTGAAAATATTAGTATTTCATTACTATGTGCCTGAAAAATAGGAAGAACACATTTAAAAGCAAATGCTTTACATGTAAGTTTCAGTAATAATATGAAGTAGTATACTTACAGCTCTGTGATGGACAAGCAGGTTGTTGGCACATCCACCAAAAACAATTACTTCTCCTTCATCACTGGCACAAGCTGTGTGCCATAACCTGCATTTAAAACAAAAACTTGAGTTTCAAGTCACCCAGTTGCTCATTTTATACTACTGAACAGGGCTATGAAATGAAGACTATAGATCTTAAGGTAGTTCAGACCAAAACATCATGGTGAGAAGTAAAATCTTAAGTAGCGAAAGCAATCAGTATCTATTTTATCTGGACATTATGATTTTATCTCTCTGGTCAGTTCTCATTTATGCAGTGAGGGGTTTGAACTAAATGATGTGTTCTCTAGGTCTTTGTTAGCAATAAAAATCGTATGGGAGCTGACTGTGGTATATGCCTTTTTCCATAGATAGGGCCAACTGGCCTTACACAGAACATCCAAGGGATGGTGAAAGCCCTGCTTGAGTGAACGATAAAGTCTCAGAAAGCCTGGTAGTTTTTTGGAGAGATCATCTGTGCAAATAAAGTCTTACTGGCATGGCTATACTTGGTTTAGAGGCTTAGGAAAAAACTGCAGGCTTTGAACATCATTTTGACTGTATCATTTCCTTTAGCATTTTGAGATTAACAAGAGAAAATCAACTATCAGTGTTTAATAAGCTCTTCTCTTTGGCTAAGATTTGCAGTAGCACTGTATAACAAAGATGAAGAAATCAAATCATTTCTTCATCTTTGTTATACAGTGCTACTGCAAATCTCATTGACCATTCTTTTTCTCCCCCACAAAGGTTTTTTTTTTTTTTTTTTTGAGACAGTCTTGCCCTGTCATCCAGACTGAAGTACAGTGGTGCAGTCTCAGCTCACTGCAACATCTACCCTCTGAATAGCTGGGACTACAGGCACACACTACCACACCTACCTAATTTTTCTATTTTTTGTAGAGATGGAGTTTTCCCATGTTGCTCAGGCTGGTCTGGAACTCCTGGGTTCAAGCAGTCTGCCTGCTTCAGCCTCCCAAAGTGCTGAGATTACAGGTATAATCCTGTAATCCCACTGCACCTGGCCTCCCATGTGATTTTTAAAAATTTTGCCCACTCCAGCACAGTGGCTCACGCCTGTAATCCCAGCACTTTGAGAGGCTGAGGCAGGTAGATCACAAGATCAGGAGATCGAGACCATCCTGGCCAACATGGTGAAACCCCACCTCTGAAAATACAAAAATTAGCTGGGCATGGTGGCACATACTTGTGTGTAAAAAAACAAAAATTAGCTGGGGCAGGAGAACTGTTTGAACCAGGGAGTCAGAGGTTGCAGTGAGCCAAGATTGCACCACTGCACTCCAGCCTGGCAACAGAGGGAGACTCCATCTCAAAAAAAAAAAAAAAATTTTTTTTCCCATTCCAGCACCTCTACTACATTCATTTTGAGACAGTTTTGTTCCTGTTGCCCAGGCTAGAGTGCAATGGCACAATCTCTGCTTGCTGCAACCTCCACCTCCCTGGTTCAAGTGATTCTGCTGCCTCAGCCTTTCTAGTAGCTGGGATTACAGGCATACATCACCACACCTGGCTAAGTTTGTATTTTTATTAGAGACAGGGTTTCACCATGTTGGCCAGGCTGGTCACGAACTCCTGACCTCAGGTGATCCGCCTGCCTCAGCCTCCCCAAGTGCTGGGATTACAAGTGTGAGCCACCATGCTTGCTGGCCAACCCTTATTTTTAATAACAAACCTAGATACAGTTCAACTCATTGAAGTGAAAAGCTTGACTATACATTTTAACTATGTGTCAATTTTATGGAAGAAGCAAAAATAAAAAGCCCTATTCTTCATACACAGATGATGGAAAGGAGAGCATTTGAAATTAGTATAACATTGAAATACTTCTCAAAGAAAAGAAAACCAAACCTTAGTGAATGTTAAGATTTTTATAAATAAAAATGGTGGATATAATGCAGCAGAAATCTCAATTCCTACATCTTGTACATATTCAGTATAAGAATTGCCTTTAAATACCTTGGTTTTTCAGCATATGGATGATTAAACTGTATCCATTCATTTTTACTGATGCAGTAAGTCCAGGCATCACCTGATTGAAGAAAAAATATCTATGAAATAGGTTAGTTTGCCAATATGATAATGACATTTAAAGGTCACAGCTTTGGCAATAAAGGTAATAAATCAGATCATGAGTAGATACAGAAAGTATATGTTCTTTTTTTCCCCCTGCAATTAGCCAAGTAAGCCCTTTGCATGTTATAGCCCTTCAGCAGGGCTCTCAAGTGCACCAAGGTTCTTTACTGAGCAGAAGTACACCATATAGTACAATTACAGGTATGTTATAGGATCAAAATCAAACCTTCCAACCAACCCTATAAGCCCTCTCTTAAGTCTCTAATAGACTCATTTTCAGCTATTATATATGGATCATCTATGATGATTTGGTTATCATAGTTTTCAAGGACTTACTTAGTGGCTGTTTATCAGTGGTAAATCCTCCAAAGAGAAAAAGATGATCTGAAGAAACTGGTGTTAGTGAGTGCCAAGATCGGCCAACTGGGCATATGCCTTGTGGAATTCTGAAAATAATAGCTAAGTTACAATATCTGCATTTAGAAGCAGCTACTGTATTTTTCAGTTTTCCTTTAAAATTTCTATGTATGTGTTATGAAAAAGACTTCACATTTGAAAAGGCTTCTTGGTAGAAACAACTACATGCTTTATACTGAAATATTTTCTTTGAAGATAGTCAACTTCAGACCTTTTCAACAAACACTGAACACATGCAATGTACAAGGCACATAGTTATAAGAACTGGAAACATAAAAATAAAATTCATTCCTTAAGAGCCTAGAAGTCATGTTTATTTAATTTTAGTTACATTATTATATACCAATAGTAGGGAACATAGGGTAAAAACAATCTGAATTTTGGATAAACTTATCTAAAGTGATACCTACAATTCATTCCACTCCCATGTATCCAGATTAAGATAGTGAAGATCATTCATTCTAGCATCCTAAAAAAGGATAATTAAGTTATCATTTTGAAGAATTCAAAAGCAAGTCACTAAGCTCTTTAAATACTTACTCGGTATCTGCCTCCAAACACAAAGCCTTTGTTTCCGACAGTTGCACAGGCATGGGCAGCACGAGGTGAGGGTGCTTTACCCTATTAAAGAGTCACATAAGCAAGTTAGTACGTAAGTGAACTTTTTATAAAAAACAGAGGGAAAATACCAGAGTCTCCTCTGGATATGGGATAAGAATATGTAAGGCACTTGAGCTTTTAAAAGTTGGAGTGTAGACTTCTAGACAACAACAGTACTCAAAGCTGATTACCAAAACTGGGCATTTGAATTTTATGTTTTGAGATGTGTTACTGAATAACAGAAAGGCTACTTTATTTTTTTCTCTTTTAAAATAAAGGCTGGCATATTAAATAATATGTGCCAGAGGGAAAATAAATCTAATATTTAAGTAATACAAATTGCATCCTAGTGCTGAATTATTTAATTACAGGTTGAATATTTGTAATCTGAAAATCCAAAATCTGAAATGCTCCAAAATCTGAAAATTTGAGAGGCAACATGATGCTGAAAGGAAATGCTCACCGAAGCATTTCAGACCTTTGAATTAGAGATGTTGACTGTTAAGTATATCATGTAAATATTCCAAAATCTAAAAAAAATCTGAAATCTGAAACATTTCTACCACTTTAAATATATTAGATAATAGATGCTGGGTTAGTCACTTCATACATTCATTAAACTTCTGAGTTCTAGGTTCCTTGGAAATCATGAAAATTACGGATCTTCTTGGCCGGGCACAGTGGCTCACCCCTGTAATCCCAGCAATTTGGGAGGCTGAGGCGGGCAGATCACGAAGTCAAGAGATTGAGACCATCCTGACATGGTGAAACCCTGTCTCCACTAAAAATACAAAAATTATCTGGGCCTGTAGTCCCAGCTACTTGGGAGGCTGAGGCAGGAGAACTGCTTGAACCTGGGAGGTGGAGGTTGCAGTGACTGAGATCACACCACTTCACTCCAGCCTGGCGACAGAATGAGACTCTGTCTCAAAAAAAAAGAAAAAAAGAAAAGAAAAGGATCTTCTCTCCAGAAAACAATGAACTGTCACTTTTACAGTATCTTCCAACTCAGTGCACTCCCTCCCTCCAATCCTCTCAACCACCTTTAAGTATCCTTGCTTTAACAATTCATTATTCTTTAGTAACTCACAGTAGTTATAGGCTGGCTCCAGGTAAAAGTTTCAGTATCTAAAATATGTACATGATCATTCCATCCTCTTGGATGACTGGAATTCTACCGAAAATAAAAATCTGAGTTATTTTACAAATCATGTTTATAAAATTAGATAGCCTGCCGGATTACCAAAGAAAAATGCACAAAACTTATTAGCAAACATAAAATGTGGTGTTTCAACTACTAAGGAGGCTATATGCAAATATGAAGCTTCACTTACCCAAAAAGATGTTTCATCAAATTCAAAAGTTCCCAATACTTTATCTTCTGGCAAATATCCATACCCTCCAAAAAATATTAACCTGTTTGATAAAAAACCAAGACACTAAAAATTCAAACATCCATAGGATAGGATACAAGCAACTTATCTTAGGTGCTGTGTTAAATGCTTTCATGTATTAAATCAGATAATTTTTATATGGGCCCTATGAGGTATGTTCTATGCAAATAATTACTGGCTAAGGACACTTGAATGGTAAACCACTTTACATATAAAAACCCAAACCTATAGTGCTGCCAACTCACTTGTTTTTATATACCCAGACACCAAGTTTGTCCTTTGATGATGGAGGAATTCCTTGGCAATCAATTCTCTCCCATTGTAACACTCTGTCTGTAGACCTTGAATCCAGCATGTAGAACTGTCAGAAGCAGTGATTTCAGTTAGATTTGGTTATGTGAAAGAAATTCAAGTTTAGCATATAATTTTACTGTGATTTATGATAAGAGTGCCATCTAAATTCGGTACTACTGAAATTTTGACTGCTGACTGGCTGTCAGACTGCTCAGAGTCCAGATTAGGATTTTGTGACTGAATGCCAATTTCCTAAATCACTAAGCACACTGTGTTAGTTCAACTAATTTTTTTTTTTTTTTTTTTAAGAGACAGGGTCTCTCTTGCCCAGGCTGGAGTGCAGTGGCACAATCATAGATTACTATAACTTAAACTCCTGGGCTTAAGTGATCTTTCCACCTTAGCTTCCCAAGTAGATGGACTATAGGCTTGTACCACCATACCTGGCTAAGACAGCCATACATTTTGTTTTCCCATTTTATTTAGTTATTTTTTATTTCAATAGGTTTTTGGGGAACAGATGGTGTTTGGTTACATACCTAAGTTCCTTCATGGTGATTTCTGAGATTTTGGTGCACTCAGCACCCAAGCAGTGTACACTATACCCAATGTGTAGTCTTTTTTTCTTGAGTTGGAGTCTCGCTCTGTCTCCCAGGCTAGAGTGCAGTGTTGCCATCTCTGCTCACTGCAACCTCCGCCTCCCAAGTTTAAGCAGTTCTCCTGCCTTAGCTTCCGAGTAGCTGGGATTACAGGCGTGTACCACCATACCTGGGTAATTTTTGTATTTTCAGCAGAGATGGGGTTTCATCATGTTGCTGAGGCTGGTCTTGAACTCTTGACCTCATGATCCACCCGCCTCAGCTTCCCAGTGTGCTAGAATTACAGGCATGAGCCACAGTGCCCAGCTAATGTATAGTCTTTTATCCCTCACCCACCTCTCACCCCGTTCCCTGAGTCCCCAAAGTCCACTCTATCATTCTCATGCCTTTGCAGCCTCATAGCTTAGCTCCCACTTATGAGAGAGAACATAAGATGTTTGGTTTTCCATTCCTGGGTTACTTGACTTAGAATAATCGTCTCCACTTCTATCCAGGTTGCTGCAAATACCATTATTTTGTTCCTTTTTATGGCTGAGGAGTATTCCATGGTATATATACACACTACATTTTTTTTATCCCCTCGTTGACTGGTGGGCATTTGAGCTGGTTCCACGTTTTTTGCAATTGCAAAATTGTGCTGAAAGTTTTTTTTTTTTTTTTTTTTTTTTGGTAGAGACAGAATCTCACTCTGTCACTCAGGCTGAAATGCAGTGGTACGATGCTCAGCTCACTGCGATTTCTGCCTCATGGGTTCAAGCAATTCTTGTGCCCCAGTCACCAGAGTAGCTAGGATTACAGGCATGCATCAGCATGCCCAGCTAATTTTTGTATTTTTAGTAGAGACAGGGTTTTGCCACGTTGGCCAGGCTGGTCTCAAACTCCTGACCTCAACTGATGGGATTATAGGCATAAGCCACCACACCTGGCTCTGATATGAGGACTGTAGTTATTTAATTTATGGATTTTAGGATGGTGTTACCCAAAAAACTTAGGTTTAGTAATTTTACCTTTAAATTCAATTTAACAAATATGTTTAGTGCCTATTAACTCTATACTTAAAAGATTAAATAGGCCAAGCACAGTGGCTCACACCTGTAATCCCAACACTTTGGGAGACTGAGGCGGGCAGATCACTTGAGGTCAGGAGTTCAAGACCAGCCTGGCCAACATGATAAAACCCCATCTCTACTAAAAATACCAAAAAAAATTAGGATTACAGGCATGCGCCACAGTATCTGGCTATCTACTCAGCAAGCTGAGGCAGGAAAATCACTTGAACCTGGGAGACAGAGTTTGCAGTGAGCCGAGATTGCAGCACTGCATTCCAGCCTGGGCAACAGAGTAAGACTCCGTCTCAAAAAAAAAAAAAAAAAGAGATTAAATGTTTGTCTTTCTTTCAAAGGGTTCACATCAGGCAACTGAATATATCTGACCACGGTATATCTATTTTTTACTTCTGAGACACCTAAGCTTCCTTTCAAACTTACAACACACAATCCTAGCCACTTGACATACAACTACTGTTTTTCTAACTACCCCAACAAAACCACAGCTTGTCTCCTTCCCCAAGCTTTTTCAAGTCGTGTCAGTTATTTTTCTCCCCCTTGGCTCTGCAATACATATGGCTCAGTGATAGCCTATAGATGTGCCTCAATCTTTTAGGCATAAAACACTTTCTTCAAACAAAATACTAAGCAAAAGCCCAAAGTATAAAAACAAAAGTGGAGCTACACTTGTTAAAACGGAGAAGGGGCAGCCTGGAGCCTACCTAACACCATAGGCTCCTCCCACAGGTGTTCCAAGGCATCTCAAATCCCTAGAGTTTCTAGGAACAGTTTGAAAGCATCTTAGCCACATGTTCCATCCACTTGGCATTTCCATAATTAAGACATTTGCTTATATCTGTATCTTAGCTACTCCTTCCAATTTTATTATTCAGTTCAAGCATCACCTCTTCAGTCAAGATTTTCCTTGTTCTGTTTCCTCATCCTACCAAACACAATGTCAAAGACCTTTTCAGATTCAACAATACTTACTATTTTCTATATGCCAGGTGCTGTGTATCTCTCCAACAGATGCTACTGCAGTGGTTTACCTACTCTGTGTCCCTTCTAGAATGTGAGTTCCTAGAGATGGAAACTGTATCATTCATCTGTTTCCAGTGTCCAACCAAGTGCTCAGCACAAAATGCTTACTAAATTGCCAACTTAGTAGACTCCTATCAATTCATTTATTTGGCAACTCATTAAGCACTAATATATATCATATGTATCATTTTTGACTGACAATCTGTCACTTACTGGACTGAAAGAGAAGAACTGTGGGCAAAGTCTGAATAGCAGTGTCTTTGGGCACCACTTTACAGGAATGTTAACAGGTAGTTTTGTCAGTTTTAATTTATCCTATAGCTTTCTGATTGGTTGCCTGCTCAGTTTTACCCTTCTTGTCTTCTTTCTTCTTTTTGTCTTTAATTTTATTACCAACGTTCATCTAATATTTAAGCGTTCTAAGAGAACAAGTAGCTGCAAAAAGCACAAAGAAAAACCACCCAGGAAGTTACTGCACACAGGTTACCAACAAAATTTGATTTTACATAATGCCTAGGCAAATACAGACTGGCACACAAAATACTAAAATGCACATTCATATCATAATCCAGTACACATAATTTTTAACTGAGACACAAATAAGTCTAGGGCTAACCTTAGAAATCTGCGGTTGTCTGAAAGGTAATAATAAAAAGGCCTCAAACCATAATCCTTAGAAACACTAACCTTATTGGTATTGCCTCTTGAATGGTGTCCTCCAAACAAGTACAGCACCCTGTCTACACACACAGCACAGCTTCCTGACATAGAAGGAGGAACATCACCTTCAGTGTTGATTTTTTTCCTGAGGGGGAATAAATTAAGTGTATATAAGTTTACCAAAAGAGAAGAAATGCAAAACTCTATTAATTTTTCTATTTATATCCTCTCAATAAATTGAGAAGGCAGAGTAGACAATGCCTCTAGGGTCTCTTTTAAGTCTGAAATTAATTCAAGGAATGTGCTTTTCCCTCTTTATCCATTCCACAGGCAGTGCCAGCTGGTCCCATATGTACAGGCTAATGAGAGATTCTAAAAGCCTATGTGTCATTTGATTATTCTAGGAACATACCATTTTATATTTCTCAGACTAAATTGTTTGCTCTTTATTTACATGGCCACAAGTCGTTTTAGTTTTGAGTGTGCCAGGAGCCCAGAAAGAAAATCTCAACATTCCTAGTCCTAATAGATTAATTCAGTAAGTGTCTTTTCTTCAGTCACCTTTTAGCCATTCATATGCATCGGATTCAGTCCTTTATATAACACTAAAACAGGTAATGCCATGTGCCAGGCATTCCTGAGTGCTTTGTGTGTATTAACTCATTCTGAATCTAAAAATGGATCTGAATCAAAACATCTAAGGAATCTAAAATTTAAAATTCTAAAAGTATACTACTCCATATCTTCTGCGAAAACTGCCAGATATAATATTACTTTATCTTTGCTAAAGTTTTAGAAGCCTCATTTAAAAAAAAATTTTAAATGGAAACAGGATCTCACTGTGTTCCTCAGGCTGCTCTTGAACTCCTAGACTCAAGTGATCCTCCCACCTCGGCCTTCCAAAGTGCTAGGATTACAGGTGTGAGCCACCATACCTGGCCTTAAAAATTATTTTTAAAAATAATGTAAATTCTCTTTTAAAGAGAATACAATTATACATTTCCAATTATCTAGAAAAAGCTTTTTCTGAGTAAGAAATGGCTTCATATTATCACTAATTTGTTATATACAGAAATCATGACTTATTTTTAGCTTAGCTCTTAAATTTTTTTTTTTGAAAAGTTTTGCTCTTGTTGCCCAAGTTGAATTGCAATGGTGCGATCTTGGCTCACCACAACCCTCCACCTCTTGGGTTCAAACAATTCTCCTGCCTCACCCTCCCAAGTAGTTGGGATTACAGGAGTGTGCCACCACACCTGGCTAATTTTGTATTTTTAGTACAGATGGGGTTTCTCCATGTTGGTCAGGCTGGTCTCGAACTCCCAACCTCAGATGATCCACCTGCCTCAGCCTCCCAAAGTGCTGGGATTACAGGTGTGAGCTACCACACCCAGCCAAATTTTTTTTTTTTTTTTTGCCTTTTTTTTTTTTTTTTGAGACGGAGTCTCACTGTGTCACCCAGGCTAGAGTGCAATGGTATGATCTCGGTTCAGTGGAACCTCCACCTCCCGGGTTCAAGTGATTCTCCTGCCTCAGCCGCCCAAGTAGCTGGGTTTACAGGCACATGCCATCATGCCTGGCTAATCTTTGTACTGTTATAGAGACAGGGTTTCACCATGTTGGCCAGTCTGGTCTTGAACTCCTGACCTAAGGTGATCCACCCACCTCGGCCTCCCAAAGTGCTGAGATTACAGGCATGAGCCACTGCCTCTGGCCTAACTCTTAAGTAAGACTATTATGCTAATTCTGAGATCTACAATAAATAAAATATTTAAAGCACAAAATTCTCAGAAAGCACACCAAAGGGAAAACTACTATGTAAATCCCCAACCATGGCTAACACAGCATTTTGAGAAACATGTTAATTCTACCAGGGATGTGCTCTTGACTACTACTATTATGAAACTGGCAAAAGATCATTTCAGATTATCTCCAGTTTATATAAAGGACAAATTGGAAGTCCTTTTGGTTTTTAAACAGAACAGACTACTTTTAAAAAGATTTGCATGCAAATTTTGAGAGGTCGTTAAAAATTTTTGGCAGATAAAACTCTAAACAATCTAAAATCTAACAATTCTAACCATTTAAAATCCTTTCCTTATTCAAGATACAACAGAAAACTTAACATCTTGAAAAAAAAAAAAAAAAAGGAGCATTTATTTTTCCATTCTAGATTCTGAAGCCTCAACATCTATTTTAAATATTCCTATACTTTATAGAGCCCTGAATAGAAATTTATTCTAAGTTCATAAAAGTAGTAACTACAGAACTACTCTAAAACAGGTGCTAAATTAAGCTTAGTAGCTAAGTTAAAGTAGCAGAAGAATGTTTTTAGAATATATAGATAGCTTAGAATGGGTTTTACATTATTTTTCTTTGCAACCATATCTTAAAAAAAAAAAATTAAGAGACGGAATTTCACTCATTGCCTGGGCTGGAGTGCAATGCACAATCTCTGCTCACCACAACCTCTGCCTCCCCAGTAGCTGGGATTATAGGCATGCACCATTACACCCAGCTAATTTTGTATTTATAGTAGAGATGGGGTTTCTCCATGTTGGTCAGGCTGGTCTTAAACTCCCAACCTCAGATGATTCCCCCCACCTCGGCCTCCCAAATTTTGTTTTTTTTTGTTTTGTTTTGTTTTGTTTTTTTGAGATAAGAGTTTCACTCTGTCACCCAGGCTAGAGTGAAGTGGCACAATCTGTGCTCACTGCAACCTCCGCTCCGCCTCCTGGGTTCAAGCAATTCTCCCACCTCAGCCTCCCGAGTAGCTGGGGTTACAGGTGTGTGCCACCACACCCAGCTAATTTTTGTATTTTTAGTAGAGATGGGGTTTCACCATGTTGCCCAGGCTGGTGTTGAACTCCTGACCTCAAATGATCCGCCTGCCTGGGCCTCCCAAAGTGCTGGGATTATAGGCATGAGCCAGCCACTGTGCCCAGCCCTTATGTTAATTCTTTAGTCCCCCTCATAAACAATATCCACATTACCATCTTCCAGTCTCCATGTTGTAGATCCATAGTTCTTCTCTAGGCAAATAGAAGTCATATAATCCTCTGACTTGATTACTCTAAGGATAAAAAAACTTTGTAAATATAAAAACTGATATTTTAAAGAAGCACTACTGTATTTTTTTTCAAATTGACCTTGAGATACTAATTATGAAATTACTGGTGATAAAAAGTTAAATAGGTCTTATAGTGCACAATCCTCCCCCACCCATGCCACATACTCAAGGTAAAGCTCAATACAGACAGTTTTTTTTTTTGAGACGGAGTTTCACTCTTGTTGCCCAGGGTGGAGTTCACTGGTACGATCTTGGCTCACCACAACCTCTGCCTCCGGGTTCAAGCAATTCTCCTGCCTCGGCCTCCTTAGTAGCCAGGATCACAGGCGTGCACCACTAGGCCGGCTAATTTTTGTATTTTTAGTAGAGACGGGGTTTCCCCATGTTAGTCAGTCTGGCCTCAAAATCCTGACCTCAGGTGATCTACCCACCCTGGCCTCCCAAAGTGCTGAGATTACAGGTGTGAGCCACCAAGCCCAGCCTGACAGCTCTTAATTCAGAATTTTGATACAGCAGTTGCAATAGTGCAAGAAGTTAAGAGACTTTTTCTTTTCCTGAGTCCAAGTGTAGGTCAGGCTGCAGTGCAGTGGCGTGATCTCAGCTGGCTAACTGCAGCCTCCACCTCCAGGGTTCAAGGAATTCTCATGCCTCAGCCTCCTGAGTAGTTGGGATTAGAGGCGCTTGCCATCACATCTGGCTAATTTTTGTATTTTTTTTAGTAGATATGGGGTTTCACCGTGTTGGCCAGGCTGGTCTCAAACTCCTGGCCTCAAGGAATCCACTTGCCTCAGCCTCCCAAAGTGTTGGGATTACAGGCAGTAAGCCATTGTACCCAGCCAAAAGATCTCTGGGAACTGTCTAAGGCCACTCTATCCTGAACAGAACCATGCACCAAATTTTAGCTGCATGACTGCAGGAGAGATTACCTGTGCCCTAGTCAGCAGGCTACTACTCAAAGTGCCTGATCCACACTAACATGATGCATGGTTTTCTAGCCAAGCTATCCTTTCACCTATTCTCTAAGCAGCAGCAGAGGGCAGAACTGCAAATATGCAAATATTAAATCCTTATGTAGAATTTTAGGTTCTTTGTTCGGTTCCATTTCCCTTCAAGTATTAATTCCTAACACATAAACTGAGCCTACCATATGTCAGAGCTGAAAGCTATCCATGAATTACTTTATTTAATCCTCACGACCACCCTAAAAAGTAGCTGATGGTATGAGAAAAAGAGTTCTTTAAAGTAATTTGCCCAGGGTTATTTATGAAGTACTGGTGGAGCCAGGATTACATCCTTTCCCTAAACTTTAACAACTGCCTGGGATTCCCAGCCTTTGACCCTCTCTGGCCACTTTCTGAACAGTGTTGACATACAGTAAACAACTGCGGTTCACGGAAAATGGGCAAAGTCCAGTAAGCTTGAATATTGCACATACAGAAACGAACAGTTGGCCGCCCAAACATTTCTTTCCACTCCACCAATGAGGGGAAAGGCTGGAAACGGGCTGACCCAGAAGTGACCAGCCTATTCTGGGGAGGAAAACTGCCTACTATGTAGGGAGCCAGTTTACTGCCTTTGAAACAATCTCCAAGGACTTCTGTGCCTACTCTTCAGGGTTCCAGCCACCAGCCATAAATGGGGAGGGCAGTCTGTTTTAGAACCATCCAATTCAGTGATTATGCTGCTTCTCCCTGAATCCGCCCCAATCATCCGCCCCAATCCACCATAAAAAATATTCCACACTGAGAATCCTCCCCTGCCCCACTCCCAAAGTCTCATTCTCTCAATGCTATAATTTTAAAAATACAATTATGAATTAGGTAGCTTAGAACAAAGTGTGATTGACAGGTTTCTGTTCTCCTGGAGAATTTACATTTTTATAAGGGTGACTACATGCTTGCACCCCCCCACCCAAATTCTTGAAATTCTCTACCCCTTTCTAAAGTATTTTTGAGAGGGCGTTTCGCTCTTGTTGCCCCGACTGGAGTGCAATGGCACCGTCTCTGCTCATTGCAACGTCCACCTCGCAGTTTCAAGCGATTGTCCTGCCTCAGCATCCCAAATAGCCGGGATTAAGGGCGCCCACCACCACGCCCAGCTAATTTTTTTTTTTTTTTTTTTTTGTATTTTTAGTAGAGACGTAGTTTCACCATGTTGGCCAGGCTGGTCTCGAACTCCTGACCTCAGGTGATCCACCGGCCTTGGCCTCCGAAAGTGCTAGGATAACAGGCATTAGACACTGCGCCCGGCCTATTTTCTAACCACATTCATTGGAGACTTGGGGAAAACACTGCAGATGAATTAGGATTGGCAAAAATTACTTTTGCAGTTAAACCGAATTAAAGTATCAGGACAGCTATTTTTGAAAGCTAGCTCAAAAAAGGTCAAAAATGGTCAACTGTATCATAAGCTAAAAACAGTCACAAAGCAAGTCATCCAAGGCACGGGCGTGGAGAGGGCGGAGTACATTTTCAAGACCAAACAGGAATAAAAGTGTTTTGTGGTAGGACTGGATCAGAGCCATCCCAGCAAATAAAATTCTAGATTTCCAAGGGAGCAGGGTAAAGAAAGGCAACTGGCTTTAAACCACCAACTAATCACGTTTATATCTGGGGGGTCAGAGAGTCAAAGAGCTGCACTCTGAGTTCAATTGATGCTGGGGATTTTTTGGTTACCGGTGGAGCTTTTCCATCAATTATCTTAATAGGTGTGTCTGCCGCAACACTTCAACCCAGCTGAAGCCAGAATGAAGATAGTCCTGACAGGTTCAAACAACAGTATGATGGCCATTTGCACAGGCGGCAAGGTTGAATAATGTGATTCCTGTAACCTTTTGGAATTCCAGTTTTCCTGCACCTCGGCCACCCCGTAAGTGGGCAGCGGTTCCCAGCCCCAGAGAATAAAGTCCTCTAGGTCGTCCGGATAACGCGTCTGAGTGACATCACACGCCGTCACCTTACACACTCCAACCCTTCCGAATAATGCACCGCCCAAACGACATTAACAGGACCTTCCCCACAATAACGCTCCAATGGCAACAACGGGGGTGGGAGTGAGTTGGCTTTGCGAGCACCAGGTTGACGTGAAAGCAGCCCTGGAAACTCGAGACTGGTTGGGGGACTCCAGAGAAGGAAGATTCCCGCGCGCAAGAAAAACCAACCAACGGGCAGAGTCTGAGGTGGGGCGCGGGGCGGAGGCGGGGAGCGCCCTCGGCGGCCAGCTCTGGCCTCCCCGCCTGGCCGCGGACCCGGACCCGAGTCACAGCCGAGCGACGTCCGCCGCGGCCCGGCCACCCACTGACCTTGTAGCCGCCCCAGACGAACATGTGGCGCCCGTCGCTGACAGCTACGTGGCCGCTGCGCTCGGCGGGGCAGGCGAGCTCCATAGACTCATAGCTCTCGAAGGCCGGCCCCGGCAAGTCGTCCGGCCGCAGATCCTCGTTGCCATCAGCCATCTTGAGGCAGCACTTTGCTAACCAAGAATGCCCACACCCCAGAGGGGCCAAAGAAACAAAGGAAAAGTAGAGAAATGCACAGCGACGCGAGGCAAGGAAAGGGCGGCGGCAAAAGGGACGGCGTGGAGGCCTCCCTGCCGCCGGCGTTCGGGTTTCCCAGCCTCCTCGGCTGAGGACGGCTCTCCGCCGCCGGGACGCGCCTGCAGAGTGGCCACGAGCGAAACCCGGCCCGAGACCTGGAGCACGGCGGGGAAAGGGCTCGCGTCGGACCGGCTCCCTCTCTCAGCCCGTCCGCCCCGCCTCCAGCAGCCCACGGCCTTGTTTACGCCGCGGCCGGAAGCCGCCTGTTCCGCTGACGCCGCCCGCCGGGCTCCGGAAGCGAGGAAGCCGCTCAGCGCCCCCAGCGCCGGGTCCTCCACCCGCCGCCGCCGCCGCTACCTATGGCCTGGGCACTGCAACTCCGTGGGGCCAGGCGACTTCCAGTAACCCTTCGAGTCTTTTTTCGCCGAGGGAACCACAGAGATAATGCCTTGAATCGCTCCCTGAAAGCTGCTAAATTTTAGCCAAATTGCCGCAAATTTTTTTTTTCTTCCCAAGAATTCCTATTCGTTTGATTGAGGGATGATCTCAGAGGGCGCACAGCCTGACAGGGGCACCAGAATTGCTCCACTAGGCAAGTTTCTGGTGTCGCCTTAGAGTGGCAACAGGCCCTGCTGTCCTGCGGCTGCGAGGGCCGAAGCTCTGCTCTTCCGCGGGGCCCAGCCCGATCCCCGGCGGCCTCGCGGTAGCTCCTGCCGACCCCTCCTGGCGCCGCCTCTGCAAGGATCTGACGTTGCCGCCGCCGCCAGCAGGGCTGCAGAGTTGGCTTCAAAAGCGTCTCCGAAGCTACCACCACGCTTTTCTTCGGAGAAGAAGGCGGATCCCTTTCACGCACACACAGCTTTCTCTTATTTTCTATGATACCTTTCAGTTGGGCCAAAAGAAAATTACGAGTTGCTGTAACCTCAACTTGATACCTCACCTGTAAAAATAGGGTGGGACAAAAATACATCTTAATTTCCTGATCTCACAGTGCCTCTAGAATTTATCCTGTTTGGTGGGAGGGGCGTGCTTCATTATCCTCCATTTCCCTCATTTTCTGGTTGGGAGCACTCCGTAGCAAAGGAATACTTTGAACAATAAAAGGCTTTTTAAAAAATCTATTAAAATATTTTTAGCCTGAAACTCCTCCCCTAGATGCTGCCAGTGTGTTTACTTGAACTCAAGAGCTTGAAAGTTACTTAGGATTAATTAAAGCCTTCAGGGAAGCAAATCACCTTGAGGCTGTTGAAACCTCATCTGCTATCCAGCCTGGTTGGTTCCCGCATATCTGCTTAATAGACTTTGGGGTTACCAAAATTCCTTGTGAGCCAACCATGTGAATCTGATCAAGTAACTTAAAAACCTTGAGCTGGCTCCCGTCGTCCTTAGTAGAGTCCGAAATTGGTATCACGGCTGGGCGTGGTGGCTTACTCTTGTAATCCCAGCACTTGGGAGGCCAAGGCGGGCGGATCACCTGAGGTCAGGAGTTCCAGACCAGCCTGTCCAATATGGTGAAACGCCGTCTCTACTAAAAATACCAAAAAATTTAGCCAGGAGTGGTGGCCGGGGCCTGTAAACTCAGCTACCTGGGAGACTGAGGCAGGATAATCGCTTGACCCCGGGAGACGGAGGTTGTAGTGAGGCCAGACGGCGCCATTGCACTCCAACCTGGGCAACAAGAACGAAACTCCATATTAAAAAAACAAAAAACAAAAAAACTATCACAGTGCTGTGCAAGATCCAGCATCGTCCAGCTCTGACTTACGCTTCCAGATTCAATTCCTGGCTCTCTCCTCCTTCCAGCTACATTACCCTTCTATCAGTTCTTCAAATACACCTACCTCTTTTTTTCCCCTCACTCTGTCTCCCAGGCAGGAGTGCAGTGGCATGATTTCGGCTCACTGCAACCTCTGCCTCCCGGGTTCAAGCAATTCTCCTGCCTCAGCCTCCTGAGTAGCTGGGACTACAGGCGAGCACCATCAAGCCCAGCTAATTTTTTTGTAATTTTAGTAGAGACGGGCTTTCACCATGTTGACCAGGCTGGTCTCGAACTCATGACTCAGGTGATCCTCCCACCTCACCCTCTTAAAGTGTTGGGATTACAGGCGTGAGCCACCGCGCCCGGCCACAACACCGAGCTCTTTTTAGCTCAGGGTCTTCACACTTGCTGTTTCCTCTCCCTGGAAGTCTCTCTGTTTTTTGTTTTGTTTTGTTTTGTTTTGAGATAGGGTTTCCCTCTGTCGTCCAGGCTGGAGTGCAGTGGCATGATCTCAGCTTACTGCAACCTCCACCTCCCAGGATAAAGCAATTCTCCTGCCTCATCCTCCCAAGTAACGGATTACAGGCGCCCACCACCACTTCTGACTAATTTTTGTATTTTTAGTAGAGATGGGATTTCACCATGTTGCCCAGGCTGGTCTCAAATTCCTGACCTCAAGTGATCCTTCTGCCTCAACCTCCAAAAGTGCTGGAATTACAGGTGTGAGCCACTGCAACCGGCCGTAACTTATTCTTCATGTCTCAATTTAGTTGGAACTTCCTTGGGGAAACCTTTCTGGATCTCCCGGGCTACTTTTAGGTTCCCTATTAGAGGCTGTTAGCATCCTTGGTACTTCTCCATACCACTTCTTAAGACCATCATGTGATTACTTGTCTATTGTTAGTTTCCCCTGTTAGATTCTAAGCTTGAAGTATGAGCTTAACTTGGGTGGCCTCTTGCTGCAAGTTGCAAAACTACCTTCTGTCAAACTACCTTTTCCTCTGAATACAGCCAATCAGCTAACACAGTCACCTTAATTATCAGGTGAATCTAGGATGAACTGTGTGTGACAAATCGTGTTGTCAAGTCCTCTTACTGAAGGATTAGTTATTGTTTATCTTGTGAGCATGTATATAATGTGTTGTATCTGCTTGGCTATATGAAAAAGTGAGATTTCTTTGTCCTTGCAATTTCCTAGTAGATTGCCTGTGATGCTCATCACATTCTGGTTTAATGCTTATTCAACGAATCAAACCGCTTTCTCTACTACCTTTGCGAAGATGTTTTCTGGGTTGGGAAAATATTTTGTTTTTAATTCTATTTCCCCAACAGAGGCACACAGAAAATTTTTGTCACAGGTATGAGTGGGTTGCCATGGTAATGGAAGAGATTACTGTGGGGATCAGGAATAGATCGAGGAATGTATTCTAATATCATACTTACAAAATCCTTATAAAAGAGTCTCTCTTTGAATCAGATCATTGCTTGACCTCTGTGGCATTTAAAATATAATCACTAACATCTAAGTTTCTACCGATTACATTCTATCCTTGGAACCATAAGGGGCCACGGTCTCTAGGGGACTAAATCTAGTACCATAAACATTTCTCGATGCATTAATCAATACATCTTTACCTAGAGTCAAAGATATATGTTGAATATGTATATATTTCTTTTTCTTTTTTTTTTTTGAGATGGAGTCTTGCTCTGTTGCCCAGGCTGGAGAGCAGTGACACAGCTCACTGCTACCTCTGCCTCCCAGGTTCAAGCAATTCTCCTGGCTCAGCTTGTTGAGTAGCTGGGACTACAAGCATGTGCCACCATGCCCAGCTAATTTTTGTATTTCTAGTAGAGATGGGGTTTTGCCATGTTGGCCAGAATGGTCTCAATCTCTTGACCTCAGCCTCCCAAAGTGCTGGGATTACAGGTGTAAGCCACTTCGCCTGGCCTATATTTCACATATATATATATATATATATATATGTGTGTGTGTGTGTGTGTGTGTGTGTGTGTGTGTGCCATTTAATAAAACACTATAGTAGCCACTTTGACTTACTTACTATTTATGTTTCAAACCATATTTTATCCTACTTAGAACAGTAACAACAAAAATTGTCTCTGAAACAGATTTTTTTTTTTTTTTGAGATGGAGTTCTACTCTTGTTGCCCAGGCTGGAATGCAACGGTACAAGCTCAGCTTACCACAACCTCCACCTCCCAGGTTCAAGTGATTCTCCTGCTTCAGCCTCCTGAGTAGCTGGGATTACAGGTGTGCGCCACAACACCTGAAGAGTTTTGAATTTTTAGTAGACTTAGGGTTTCTCCATGTTGGTCAGGCTGGTCTCGAACTCCCAATCTTAGGTGATCCACCCACCTAGGCATCCCAAAGTGATGGGATTACAGGGGTGAGCCACTGCACCCGGCCGAGTCTCTGAAACAGATTAATTGGTTATACTATAAACAGAATTTCTCAAAGTATTAAACTATGGTTGCAAGCCCCATGGATACCTGGAGTCCTTTTCAGGGGCTCCTTAAGGAACTTTCTGTGCTAACTATGTATCTGTGTGAGGCTGGATTTTCTTCACATAAATCAGCCCGTTGTGGTGTCTCATGCCTGCAATCTCAGCACTTTGGGAGGCCAAAGTGGGCGGATCACTTGAGGTGAGGAGTTCGAGATCAGCCTGATCAACATGGTGAAACCCCGTCTCTATTAAAAAAAAATACAAAAATTAGCTGGGCGTGGTGGCATGCACCTGTAATCCCAGCTACTCAGGAGGCTGAGGCAGAATTGCTTGAACCTGGGAGGCGGAAGTTGCAGTGAGTTGATATTGTGCCACTGCACTCCAGCCTGGGCGACAGAGTGAGACTCTGCCTCAAAAACATATATATTTTGCTGAAAAAAATCCTCTTGTAAGACTTCCATTTTCTTTTCTTTCTTTTTTGTTGTTGTTTTTCTTTTTGATACAGGATCTCACTCTGTTACCCAGGTTGGAGTACAGTGGCATGATCTTGGCTCACTGCAGCCTCCACCTCCCAAGCTCAAGTGATCCTCCCACCTCAGCCTCCCGAGTAGCTGGGACTACAGGCTTGTGCCATCACACCCAGCTAACTTTTCCATATTTTTGTTAGAGATTCACCATGTTGCGCAAGCTGATCTCGA